TACTTAAATCTTAAGAAATAAACCAAATTTATAGTACCTTACAGTATTGCAGACTCTACAACTTAAAGATTAGAATAATATCTTAGTTTATTAAACACTTTATTCCATGCATTGTACCATGTGTTTTGAATTGATTAAATGAGATAATGTATATAAATTGCTGAGCACTGTACCAGGCACATAGTGTATGCTCAATAAATGTTAGCTGCTGTTATTTATTTGTAAATGTAGTTAATTTTAGTTCTATAACACCCATTTTACAGATGATAAAATACAGATGCAGAAAAATTAAGTATCTGTTGTACAACTGCAAACCTGGGATTTGAATCCTACGCTCCATATAGGCCATGTTTTTACCTAGTGCCCTCAACTTCTACTCCTAGTTCCAAACTGTTTTTGTGACTGCAAAATTATGTAACCTCCCTAAATGATCGTAACCTCACTTGAAAATTAATTTTTGTCCCTGTTTTAGTATAATATCCTAGGATTTAGAGGGTATTGTAGAAATATATTTGAAAAGTAGGGTTTCTTTTCTGGAATACTTTTACATGAAGTGTCATTCATAAACCATTTTATGCCCACAAACTACTGCTTGATACACAATGAGATATATGTGGAAATTGAGATAAAGCATTTAGAAATTTTTATAATAACTTGACAATAATTATATGTATGTTGATCATAATAATATAAAGTAGAATTTGTGTTATGTCTTTGTTTTTCATTTCTTTTTTTTTTTTAGTAATTTGCTTTATTGCAGTTTATAAATCTATGAGTCTGTTATGGGTTAACATAAAGGGAAAAAATCTGGCTTAGTTTGAAAAACACTGTTCATTCTAGAGGATCATATGAGCATTTTATCAGGATCATGAATTGAAATTTATGTTTTTTTAGTTACATGTTATAAAGAGGTACCCCTTAAATCAGGAATTTCCTGATTTAAGTGGCACCTCCCCTGCTGTGTCCCCATCAGCACCACCAAAAGCTACAGGAGTTTCTCCTGTTTCAGCTCTGATGCTTCTGTCACTCAACAGTTAAACTTAGAGATCAAAACTCCTTTTCTGCCTAGGGAAAACTCTCTTGGGAAAATTAATTTTATATACCAAGATTCTTATTTTTGGGGGGAGAAGAGGGATAAGAGAGGGAGGGTAATAATGAAGATGGACTCATTTAAACATCTAGCCTGTTTTTCCATTATGGAGTTTCCATGAAATACTGACTCACAGAATGAAAGTGTTGAAATTAATGTATTTTAGCAGTCATAGATTCCAACTACTTAATTTGACAAGTGGGCTTAGATATTTTATTTCTCACTATTGGTAAGAATGTGACTATGATCCCATTTCCTTTGACTGGGCAAGGGTCAGTGAGATCCATATCCATTTCCAGAGAATTTTTTTAAGATTTATTTATTCATGCATAAAAGACCTGGGGTGTAAACCAGAGGTGCAGGGGTGGTGAGAGGATTCACCAGAGACAGAGTGGGGAGCAGAACAGCCAGATTGACTGAAATATACTGCTGAGGGGAGCAGCGGGCAAGACAGGAGAGGTCTACTGTGCCATGTGGGTTAGCTCCCTGGCTGGGGATGCTGCAGTGGCTCTGGGTGGGATAGCTTCATAGTGCTGAGACTTAGCCCCTTGCACCACTGGGGAGACCCTCCAGAGAATTCTTTATGGGACTTTGTGAAGCTTCTGTATGGTGTCACTTCTGACCCCTCCATTCTCTCAGTGCCATGGTGAGCTCTTGCATGTTATGAAACACAAGATTAGCAAATCAAACCTGCAGTATGTAAAAAGAGTAATAGATACTACTAAATGGAGTTTATCCTGGGAATGTAAGACTGATTCAATATCTCAAAATCATTGAATCTACCATATTAATATTTTTAAAGATGAAAACTCACATTTTCATATCAACTGTTGAAGAAAAGGCACTTGACAAAATTTAACATCCATTCATGATAATGAACATCTAAAAAAAAGTATGACTAACATTCTACCTTATAGTGAAATACTGAATGCATTTATCCTAAAATTGGGAATAAGGCAAGGTGTCCAGTTTCATAGTCCTGAAGCCCTACTGAGTACAGGGGACAAGAAAGGGAAATATAAAAGGGGTCAATTGTGTAGTGAGGATAGAATTGTATTTTTAGTGGTGAACTTACGTAGTATATACATGTTGATTTTAAATGATGCAAACCTGAAATTTATGTAATATTTTAATGCAGTGTTATGCCAGTAAAAATTTAAATAACATAAAATATGATTGAGCTCAAAAAGATAAAGAAGGAAATAAAAGGCTCGTGAATTGTAAGGAATAAATAAAACTGCCATGATTTTCAGATAATACAATTATATATGTATAGAACCCAAAAGACTGTTTAAAAAAATAAATCCTAGAACTAAGTGAGTTTAGTGAGGTCACAGGATACAAGGTCAGCAGCAAGTCAATCACATTTCTGACAATGAGCATCTGGAGCCTGAAATTAGAGCACAATACCATTTACAAACATATCAAATCAAATTCAATATTTAGGAATCAGTCTAACAAAACATACACAGAACCTGTATGCTGAAAACTACACTATGCTGAAGAAAGAAATCAATATCTAAATAAATGCAGAGACATACCATGTTCATGAATAGATAGGTACAATATAGTAAACATATCATTTATTCCAAAACTGATCTATAGACTTTATCAAACCCCCAAAAAGCATTTCTATATAGACAATATAGGCATCATGCTGAGTGGAAAGAAGCCAGTCTCAAAATATACTGTGTGAGTCCATTTCTGTGATCTTCTTGATAAAACTTTGGCGATGAAAAGTAAATCAGTGGTTGACAGGGATTAGAAGAAAGAGAGAGGTGTGACTACAAAGGGAAAACAGAGGGAGTTTTCTGGCGTGATGAAACTGTTCTGTATCTTGATGGCCATAATGGTTATAGAGATATATGTGTGTTAAAATTCATAGGACTATATACCAAAAACAGTCAGTTTTACCAAAATAAAACATTTAAAAAAAAAAAAAAGAGGCAGACTTCATATGGACTTGGAAGTGTCAAACTTTGGCTATAAAATTGCCCTAGTCTTTTACCACAAAGGAAGATATGAACCAAGTATAATTACAACAACTAGATGAAAACTCAAAAACTCTGTTTCTTGCTTTACTTTTCAAAGATTTTTTCCCCATCTAGATGTTCATCTCAAATATATCAAAATCACTGGGTTTTTTAAAGTGACAGACCCAATTGTATGGAATACCTTTGTGTTCCTAAAGCAGCAAGACTAGATAACTTAAAATTTTTTATTTGCTTTTTAAAAAGTATTTTACATATTTCAGCTTTTACAAATATTCTTACCCTTACATTTCAATCATCTATCACTCCTCTCACACACAGATGTTTTTCTGTAGTTTTTTTTTTTTTTTTTTTTTTTTTCTGCATTGTACATCTAGGTGGGGGTAGTGGAGAACGGGAAGCAGGTTTTATACAGCTGATGTGATCACTGTACAGACAAGCTTGGAAAATGCTACCCAATCTGCCAATTAATTAAAGCATTAATCTGAGGAGCAGCCGGGCCCAAGGAATGTTTACCCAGAGAGAGGGGAGTGGTAGGAATGAGTAAGACGCTCCCTGCATATGTATGGAAAAGAAAATGCTTAGGAAATCCAGCTTCCTTTTGTTTCTAAAGGTGGGCAGCCTTAACCTTGTTCACATCCCTAAATCACTCTGGGCTATTTAGGAAGCCTTTTAAGGAACTGGTCTCTGAAAGATGAAAGCACCACAGAATCTAGAAAAACAAACCCCAGGAGCAAGTCCTGTGTGATGTAGTTTCTTAGCTCTGGAATGAAATCTTCCAAATTCAGGAGTATATGTTGGTAATTAGGTAGAACAGATGTAATTTTTTTTTTACAGCTTTTGGAAATATATATGGAGACTGGACTCAAATCCCAATTCTGCTTCTTATTAGCTGTGTGTTTTAGGGTCAATCATGTATCTTATCTAAGCTTCATTTTTTTCATCTGTAATATAAAGATTGTGACTTCTCCCTTTATCTTAGGGCATCTTGCTCTAAGTAGAAAGAAGGCTAGAGAGTGGTTAGGACCCACCGAGATTATAAACTGCCTCTGTGAGTAGGGACTCGCAACCTTTGTTCTTTTTAATCTTATTTTCAGCAAGGGACTATAAATCTCAGGGTTTCCCCTCACCTTCCTGGGATGTGCTACATTCTTTATCTCTAAAAGAAGTAACTTTGACCATAATAGCAAAAGACATGACAGCAACCCCCTGAGGAACCTCTTTTGACTACTTGACTGTGCTCAAGATGAAGTTCACCTGGGCAACCCTAGGGAGAGTGATAAAATACACATGGAAATTGACCCAGCAATATTGGATGATATTAAATTATAATTTTTTAAACTGTGGTAAAATATATTTAACATAAAATCTTGGCCATTTTATTTTTTAACCTTTAAGCATAACTTTTTTTTTAAAGCTTCTCAATTTTTCAGAGCTATATACCAAAAATTTTTACAATAAAATGATATATAATGTCTGGGATGTGATTCAAGGTAATCCAGAGGGAGGAAGGTTGACCCAGCATCTAAAATCTCTAGCCTTGGGGCCTCCCCGGTGGCGCAGCGGTTGAGCGCTGGGTTGCAAAGCTGCCCGCAGCCTCTGCAGCGCTGGTTCGATCCCCGGCCGCTGGGCGAGGGTCCCACATGGCGCGCAGACCTCTCCTGCCGCCCGCTGCTCCCCTCAGCAGTGTACTTCATCAGTCTGCCTGCTCTGCTCTCCCTTCTGGCTCTGATGAATTCATTCTCTCACCCTCCCGCGCTTCTGACTGTACCCAGTGCTTGTATAAATAAATAAATCTTTAAAAAAAAAAAAATAAAAAATAAAATCTCTAGCCTTGTAACTCAGACAAGAAGGGCCTTTTTCTAGGGGATAGTTTTTTGTTAGATGGCATCTTTTCATTCCTATTTCTTTTCTTGCAGAACTCTCAGAAATTGAGCCCAATGTGTTCCTGCGTCCATTTTTGGAAGTGATTCGTTCTGAAGATACCACTGGCCCTATCACTGGACTGGCACTCACCTCTGTCAACAAATTCTTGTCCTATGCACTCATAGGTAAGAGCTTAGCATTTGTTGGATAACCACAACATTTCCTACCTCTCTGATGCCTTTAGACAATTAGCTGGAGAGGCCAGAAAGTTTTTCGTAGCCATGTATTTCTTCGTAGAAGAGAAATAGGATTGTTATTGGCTACTCATCTTCCTAACTGATTCAGATTGTACAGAATGGGGAGGGAGAAAGTTTTTCTTTGGACTCAGGTTTCTTTGTTCTTTGGAGCAAGTTAAGGGTATTGTGCTCTTGGAGGTTTGATTTTTTTTTTTTTTTTTTTTTTTTTTTTTTTAATAAATTTTATTGTTATATTCCCCATACAATTGCAGCCCCCCCATTCTGACCCCAATCCCTCCCCTCCCACCCCCGCCCCCCTAAAAGTGTCTCTGGTTCATAGTTTTTTGTTGATTTTGATTTTCACTTTCTTATAGTTATTCATTTTCCTGGTCCCTTATTTAAGTTTTCTAGATTCCTGCTATGAGTGAGACCATCCGGTATTTTTCTTTTTCTTTTTGGCTTATTTCGCTGAGCATGATCCCTTCCAGCGCCATCCATGTTGCTGCAAATTGCATGTGTTTATCTTTTTTGAATGCTGAGTAATATTCCATGGTATATATGTACCACATCTTCTTGATCCAGTCATCTACTTTTGGGCATTTGGGTTGTTTCCAAAGCTTAGCTATTGTAAACAGTGCTGCTATAAACATAGGGGTGCAGGTGTTCTTTGGAATTGATGTTTCTGTGTCCTTTGGGTAAATACCTAGGAGTGGAATTGCTGGATCCTATGGAAGCTCTATGTTTAGTAGGTCCAGAAATCTCCATACAGCTTTCCACAGTGGTTGAACCAGTTTGCACTCCCACCAACAGTGCAGAAGAGTTCCTTTTTCTCCACACCCTCGCCAACATTTGTTGTTGCTAGTTTTTTTTATATGTGCCATTCTCACTGGTGTAAGATGGTATCTCATGGTAGTTTTGATTTGCATTTCTCTGATGACAAGTGATGTTGAACATTTTTTCATATGCCTGTTGGCCATTTGCATTTCCTCTTCAGAGAAGTTTCTTTTAAGCTCTTCTGCCCATTTTTTGACTGGATTATTTTCTTTGTTGTTGTTGAGTCTCATCAGCTCTTTGCAGATTTTTGTGATCAGTCCTTTATCATTAGTGTTGGGTGCAAAAATGTTCTCCCAGTTGGTGGGGTTTCTCTTTGTTTTTGTTATTGTCTCTTTTGCTGTGCAAAAGCTCTTTAATTTGATGTAGTCCCAGCTGTTTATCTTTGCCTTCACTATCACTGCTTTGGGTGATGTGTCTGTAAAGATGTCTTTGATGTGCAAATCACGTAGTGTTTCGCCTATATTTCCTTCTATATATTTTATGGTTTCAGGTCTTATGTCTAGTTCTTTAATCCATTTTGAGTTGATTTTTGTGTATGGTGTGAGGTGGTGGTCAAGCTTCATTCTTTTGCATGTAGCGACCCAGTTTTCCCAGCACCATTTATTGAACAAACTTTCTTTGCTCCAATGCATATTCTTTGCTCCTTTGTCAAAGATTAGTTGACCATAAATCTGTGGGTTTATTTCTGGATTTTCTATTCGATTCCATTGGTCTGTATGTCTGTTCTTGTTCCAATACCATGCAGTTTTGATGATTATGGCTTTGTAGTATAGTTTGAAGTCTGGGAGTCTGATGCCTCCATTCCCTTCTTTTTTTTTCAGGAGAGCTTTGGCTATTCGGGGTTTTTGGTGATTCCATATGAATTTCATCAATAATTGTTCTATTTCTTTGAAGAATGACATTGAAATTTTGATTGGAATAGCATTGAATCTGTATATTGCTTTTGGTAGGATGGCCATTTTAATAATGTTTATTCTTCCAATCCATGAGCAGGGGACGTCTCTCCATTTCTTTGTGTCTTCTTCTATTTCTTTTAACAGTGTTTCATAGTTTTCTTTGTATAGGTCCTTTACCTCTTTTGTTAGATTTATTCCCAAATATTTGATTTTTTTTGTTTCAATAACAAAAGGGATGGTCTTTTTGATTTCTTCTTCTTCAGATTTATTGTTTGTGTATAGGAAGGCTACTGACTTTTGCGTGTTGATTTTGTATCCTGCCACTTTACTGAACTGATTGATGAGTTGAATTAGCTTTTCTGTGGAGTTTTTGGGGTTCTCTATGTATAATATCATATCGTCTGCAAATAGTGATAGTTTGACTTCTTCTTTTCCTATTTGGATTCCTTGGATGTCTTTCTCTTGTCTTATTGCCCTGGCTAGGACTTCCAGTATTATATTGAAAAGCAATGGTGAGAGTGGACATCCTTGTCTTGTTCCAGATCTTAATGGAATTGCTTTCAGCTTTTCACCATTGAGAATGATACTGGCTGTTGGCTTGTCATAGATGGCCTTTATGATGTTGAGGTATGTTCCTTGTATCCCCAGAATTTCAAGGGCTTTTATCATGAATGGGTGTTGCACTTTGTCGAAAGCTTTCTCAGCATCTATTGATATTATCATATGGTTTTTATATTTCTTTTTGTTGATGTGTTGGATAACGTTGATTGATTTTCGGATGTTAAACCATCCTTGTGCCCCTGGAATGAATCCAACTTGGTCGTGGTGAATTATCTTATGGATACATTGTTGGATTCTGATAGCTAAAATTTTATTGAGGATTTTTGCATCCGTGTTCATTAGGGAGATTGGCCTGTAGTTTTCCTTTTTTGTGTTGTCCTTGTTCGGTTTTGGTATTAGTGTAATGTTGGCTTCATAAAACGTGTTTGGTATTGTCCCTTCCTTCTCAATTTTTTGGAAGAGTTTGTGAAGGATAGGCACTAATTCGTCTCTGAATGTTTGGTAGAATTCATTTGTAAATCCATCAGGTCCTGGGCTTTTGTTTTTGGGGAGGTTTTTTATTACCATTTCAATTTCGCTAATTGTAATTGGTCTGTTTAGGTGTTCTATTTCTTCTTTATCTAGCTTTGGGTGATTGTAGAGTTGTAGGAATTTGTCCATCTCCTCTAGATTGTTAAACTTGTTTCCATATAACTGTTCATAGTAGTTACTGATTATTCTTTTGATTTCTGCTGTGTCCGTTGTGATTTCTCCTCTTTCATTGATGATCCTGTTTATTTGTGCTTTCTCCCTTTTTTCCTTTGTGAGCCTGGCTAGGGGTTTGTCTATTTTATTGATTTTTTCAAAAAACCAGCTCTTGGTTTCATTGATCTTTTGGATTGTTTTTTTAGTTTCAATTTCATTTATTTCTGCTTTGGTTTTTATTATTTCTTTTCTTCTACTGGTTTTGGGGTTTTTTTGTTGTTCTTTTTCTAGATCTTTGAGCTTCGAGATGAGGTTGTTTCTTTGCGTTCTTTCTTGTTTCTTGATGTGAGCTTCTATTGCTATATATTTTCCTCTTATTACTGCTTTTGCTGCATCCCATACATTTAGGATATTAGTGTCCTCCTTGTCGTTCAATTCAAAAAATTTTTTAATTTCTTCTTTGATCTCCTCATTAGTCCAATGGTCTTCCAGTAGTGTGGTTTTTAATCTCCATGAGGTAGGAAAGTTCCTTGCCTTCTTTTTATGGTTTATTTCTAGTTTGATGCCTTCATGGTCAGAAAAGATGGTTGATATGATTTCAATCTTGGTGTATCTGTTGATGTTTGTCTTGTGCCCCAGTATGTGATCGATCCTGGAGAATGATCCGTGTGCGCTTGAGAAAAATGTGTACTCCGTTTTTTTGGGGTTTAGTGTTCTATAGATGTCTGTTAAGCCTAATTGCTCTAGGTCCTTATTTAGAGCTTTGGTTTCTTTACTTATTTTTTGTCTTGTTGATCTATCCATTGTTGATAGTGGTGTGTTGAAGTCTCCCACTACGTATGTGTTTTCTCTGATGTCTGTTTTCAGAGAGGACAACAGTTGTCTGATATATTTTGGTGCTCCTTCGTTTGGTGAGTATATGTTAATGAGTGTTATTTCTTCTTGAAGTATTGTCCCCTTGATCATAATGTAGTGACCATTGGGTCTCTTTTTATCTTTTTGAGTTTGAAATCTGTTTTATCTGATATAAGTATAGCTGTTCCTGCTTTCTTTTTTGGTCCATTTGCTTGTAGGATTGTTTTCCATCCTTTAACTTTGAGCCTATTTTTATCTTTTGTAGCTAAATGTGTTTCCTGGAGACAGCAAAAGGTTGGGTTTTGTTTCTTAATCCAGGCTGCCACTCTGTGTCTTTTTATTGAAGAGTTTAGTCCATTTACATTTAGAGTTAATATTGATATGTTAACATCTGTATTTGCCATTGTGTTTGTCTTTCCTTTGATTTTATTTATTTATTCTTTTAATAACTTTTTTTTTTTTTTTTGGCCTTCTTTCATTGTTATTCGTCCCTCTGAGGTTCTGGCTTTAGGACTCCTTGTAGTATTTTTTGGAGTGGGGGTTTAGTTGCAATGAAATTCCGGAGTTTCTGTTTGTCTGGGAAGGTCCATATTCTTTCTTCAAAGAGGAAGGAGAGCTTTGCGGGATAGAGTATTCTTGGTTGGCATCTGTTTTCTTGGAGTCTGTTGACTATGTCCCTCCACTCTCTCCTTGCCCGTAGTGTTTCTTCGGAGAAGTCTGATGTCAGCCTGATTGGTTTTCCTTTGAATGTTATCTGTTTCTTCCCTCTTGCCAGCTTCATTATTTTTTCCTTGTCCTGGATTCTTGGGAGCTTTACTATTATGTGTCTTGCTGTATTTTTCCTTTCGTCGTGGAAGTTTGGTGTTCTTCTTGCTTCTTGTATATCAATTTTCAGCTCCTTCTTCACATTTGGGAAGTTCTCTTCAATTATCTCTTTGAATATTTTCTCTGTTCCTACATCTCTCTCCTCTCCTTCTGGTATTCCTATAACTCTTATATTTCCTTTCCTCATGGAGTCAGATAGTTCCCGAAGTCTTTCTTCGTTCTTTTTCCTTCGTACTTCTCTTTCCTTTTCTGTTTTGGTTCTTTTTATTTCTGTGTCTTCAAGATTACTTATTC